GGGCCACCCCTGCCCGAAGCCTCCTAAGCACAACTTCCTGCGCCCTAGTAAGGTGAGGGGGGAGAGAGCAGACACACGGTGGAGTGAGAGCACGTGTATCCTGCCGGAGAACATTTTTGCGGGTATGGAGTACGTTAAGGGGCTGAGGTGGAAGGGGATTGGCTGGAAGGTCCATGTCTGGAGGGCAGTGCGCCTGCTGGTCAGCAGCAATGTTGTGTGAGTTCGCCGCATGGCCTTCAATCCAATGTACTTTTATGCAAGCAGCTGTGTTTAGCTTATGAATGGCTTCTCAGATCTCCATCACCTTGTGTGCTTTCTTGAGCTCCTTAATAGCTCCTAAGGAATCAGTGTATACGTCAATCTGCTTAATTGTAGGCAGCTTAGAGGTGGCATCCTGGATAGCGTCATGTATGGCTTGAAGTTCCATCACAAGAGGAGTGGCCTCTGCAGATAGATAACGCTAGTGGCCACTGACAAATTTATGCGTAGCACTCAGGAATGATGTCCTTCCGCCGTCTTGTAGGATAGCATCTGTATATAGTTTGTAGGTATTAGCGCATGGGGCCTTGATGATAGAGCGTTCACCAATTGTAGATCATGTATCGGAGCCCTGTAACTTTGTTGTCTTATTAGATGTGATGGTGGTGAATTCCCAACGAGGCATAGCCTCGGGCTGGTTGTCAATGCGAGAGCCACATTGAAAGTGAGCATGCAACGCAGCAACTGGCACAAGTTGCCTTTTGATTTCATGAGCTTTTTCTCTTTGCGAAATTAGCTCTGCAATTATGTTAAGCTGAGCGTGCTCTTGTAAAGTTGATATGGGAGCGATGCGAGGTAACGCTATTATTGTGCGCATAGCATCACGGTTAATAGTGTCCAACTGTGCCAATTGTGCCAATGTTAACCATTGAAATTGCGCCTGGTATAGAATTCTTGGCTGCAGAACTGTGTGGACGAGCTGTCGAGCTACATGTGTACGAGCTCCAGCTGCTTCCGATATAATGCGGCGAATCAGATAAAGTGTTTTTGTGGAACTCTGTCTGACTTTGCGAAGCCAGTGCACTCCACTGCCGGACTGGTGAATATCAAGACCTAGTATGCGAACCTCCGAAACCTCAGGAATGGTCACTGCACCTAGTGTGAATGTAAAGGGGCACTGCTTGATTTTTCTGTGTCCTGCCTTGTTAGCCACCTGAACATAGCTTGATTTTTGGGCGGACATGTCTAACCCTGCGCTTCGAGTGTAGTTCTGAAGACTATCAAGGGCTTTCTGAAGCTGTTGTGCTTGTCTTGAGACGTCTTTATGCACAGACCATAAAGTCACATCATCAGCATATATCAAAATCCTCATGTCTGGAATTCGGTGTAGTTGCCATGCCAGAGGTATTAGAGCAATGTTGAACCCTAGAGGAGCGAAAACCGATCCTTGCAGGACACCTCTGTTGGACATGAAGCAACCTTCAGGCTTTCCATCTACTCTTATCACAAATGTGTGGTTGTGAAGAAAATAGTAAACAAACCTTACTACCCGCAGTGGAAATCCGAACTCTATGAGGTTGGATAAAATGACGTCATGGTTTATGTTGTCAGAAGCTTTGGTTTTGTCCGTTGCTACTACAAAGCGTACTGCATGGCTGTGTGGAGAAACTTGTAAAATGTAATCCGACAAGATAGAAAGACCGTCTTCAGTTCCAAAATGAGAACGAATCCCGATTTGGTCCGGATGGTCTTTATTGTGTCGTTCAAGCCACCAGGAAACACGTGTAGCCAGCATCTTTTCAGAGAGTTTTGCAGACAGTAACAGTCAATGAAATTGGGCGTATAGATTGCAGGTGATTTGACGACCTTCCGGGTTTTGAAATCGGAACGACAACTGAGTGTTTCCAAACAGATGGAACATCCCCAGTCTCTCATACTTTATTAATAGCCTGCAGAAGTGCATCAAGAGCTTCACCTTCGATGTTCTTGAAAACTTTGTAAGGAATACCGTCGGGACCAGGTGTTCTTCCTTGGCAAAAAGTTTTAATTGCCACTATTAGTTCGGCCATGCCGAAAGAACTGGATATATCGAATTTGGCACTTGGGTCAAGCTTGTCGATTTCGGGGCAGGTTATAGAAGATGCGCCATCATACTTCGGAAAAAACGCTCTTGCAGCCTGCTCTGCAAATTCTTGTGGCATACTTTGCATCGATAACCTAGCGCTCGCTGCAGGCTCACGTTGCTTGTGACCACGTTCCATCGACCGGAACGTACGCCAAAGGGCTCCGTTTCTCATGCCAGATCCAAGTTTCTCACACCACTCATGCCACCGCTGCTGAGAAAGCTGCTTTTCGTGCCAACGCGCCTTTGCTGCTAAATGGTTGGCATGTACACGGCTACCTGGTACATCTGGATTCCTTGACGCATACAGCTTCGCCTGACGTCGCTTCGCCCAGTCTCAAAGAAGCGAGGTCCAGTTGAGGTTGTTTTTCGTCAACGGTGGCCACGACTGTGTTACTGCGGAACAGTGCTTGCAAAGCGGCAAGAATTTCTGTGGGCACTGTGGGAACTTTATCAATTGATTATTCCCAAAATTTATCCTAATGCGTAATTGCTATGCGTTGTCAAATTTTCCTTATGCAGCCTCTCTGTGAACCAATAATGATTGGCATATGGTCAATACCCCAGGTATCCGGCTCCACTTGCCATTGCGGCGTTCCAGGACCAGACCACCATGTGAAATCTGGAGCGTGCGTTTCAGATGTTGCACATACAGAGCAGGTAGACACAGCGTGATAGTTCAACAGAGGAAACGTGGCATCAGTCATGATGTTTTTAACCTGGCATCCTTGTTGGAAGTTGTGCTTGTATCCCCAATCTGTATGTGGAGCATTGAAATCTCCACTTACGAGGACAGCAATCCCCGGGTACGTAGAATGCAGATGTGCTATCCATCCCAAGTTATGACGTGTGCGATGTGGTCTGGCATAAAAAAAACACTAGTATGACAGGAGTCTTCAATGGTCGTGTCCAGACAGCGACAACTTCCGGAGTGCCACTGCACCATGGTGCCAAAGTAATCATTGTATGAAGAATAGGCGATAACACATACACTGGAAATCATTGTATGAGGAATAGGCGATGACACATACACTGCGACTTTTCCCAGGGTTGAACCCATAGTCCTAGCACGCCTATCTGTAATGGACAGGTTATGATACGCATTAAAATTGTACAGGGAGCACAGTTTATTATGCTCTTGAATAAGTAGCGCCCATATATGTAGCTTGTTGTGTTCAAGCTTGGTTTTGATTTCTCCTAACTTGGAGCTTAAGCCTCGACAATTCCATCGAAGAATTCCATTACGTGGCAACTGCTGCATAGAGTTAGCCATGATGCAAGCAATTCTGTATGAGTGACGTCAGTTGAGCAAGCTGATCCAAAACTGCTGTCCAAACAGCTTGGTTGACTCGTTGTGTCATGTGGGCTGCAGGCGTAACTGGGGAATGCACACTCAGTGATTTGTTGAGTGTAGGTCCTGTTTCCTGATGCCTCAGAATGACCAATTCTTTATGTTTGCGTAGTCTCTCAATTTATTTGGCCAGTGCTTCAATCCAAGCGTCAATATCTTCATGGCCATCATCCGATTCAAGCAGTGGTTCAGCTAACTTTGGTTTCATTGTCTGCGTCTGTCTGCCTTGTTTAACCACAGAAGAGTACAGTTGTGTCTCGGAGCCTTGTGTGTCTTCTGCCGTGAGTACCTTCGGCTCTTCAGTAAGAACTTCGAAGCGATTGTTAGTCCTTACTATATTGTTTTCTGGTATAGCCTTTCGTAGTCTTGCTGTGGCTTTCTGTTTATTCGGACAGTTTATGCTTGTCATGTCGTGCTCATCGGATTTATATAGGCCACATCGATATCGTGGTTGGCTCTCAAGTGTGAGCCTTTCTGGGTCAATAGTACGCTGTGGGCACAATGCCTGCATGTGTCCCCGTGGAAAGCAACTGGTAACAGAATATTGCCCGAGGAAGGTTAAAAAGCATAGTTTCTGCACATCATTGAGAGATGCCAAGTGCACAGTAATCTTGTTGGTCGATCTGTATGCTGCAAACCCTTTGTATCCCTTTGTTTCAAGGGCATGGTCAATGACCCTTTGAACATGTTTGGTGGGCACTGAAGTTATGTCGTAGCTTGAGAAGGGGAAATGTGAACTCGATAAGATTAGGAAGGGACGGGCGTTGGGTAATACTGAGAAGCGGCGAGCGTGGAGGCATTATCAGGGGTGGCCCTTACCTCTTTTGGTGGTTGCTCTGATGCGATGGCATCTTGTTGATGCACAATGACAGGAGAACCTCACTTTGCTGGAATGTTAGTTGGCAATGATTGTCCAGCCCATGATGTCAACCTGGAAGGCACACCCACTATTGGTGAAGGCTTGTGTGTATCTGCCTTTGAAGAAGAAATACTGCAGACTTCTTCAGTTGCATTTGCCTTCAGTTAGTTCCTTGGCACTAATAGGAGTATCAAGCTGAATCAAGGAGTTGCAGCCTAACACCGAGAAAATAATTTTGAATGGTACTATAAAATGCCACATCTTAAGGAGCTCGCAACGTAACCATGTAAGTGCTGTAAGAAACACGACACAGTGAAGTAAGAAAGGATACAGGAAAGTAAGAAAGTCTTTTTTTACCGTGCTGTGTCTTTTTCTCTCAGCATCTGCGTGCTTGCGCTGCAAACTGCTTGAAAATGAACATTAATGAACTTGCCTACATCGCTGTTTTTCCAAAGAATACTAGTCTAAGTCTAATGCTATATCATATATAGAGACCCTATGCAGTGTGCCTTATTGCAAGGCAATTATTTTCACTGTTAACAAGCTTCAGTGTATGACATGAATACGCTTACTAACTTTACTGTGTCATATTGGAGGGCAAATATTACCTGTAGCAGTGTGCTTCACTGGTCTGGTTGGTGCATCATGAAAAAACAAGAAATAGGACAAAGTGAAGACGTCAGACGTGGCACTGGCTAAGAAGCAAAGCTTGTTGCAGATAATGCGGAACAGGAAGCGGACATGTGCACAGACAACAAAACAAAAACAGAATGTCTGCACTCATCTCAAACATTACGTTTTCATATATTGCTCAGTTTCTGCAAAGAGGTGTCATGAAAGGATGCATCTTCTGTGGCTTATAATGCCAAGCTGCCTTGAGCAGTTAGATTTAATAATGAATTTCCACTGTGGATTTCTCTCAACACCGTCAATTGCAACGAAATCACACATCACATAAAGAGAAGGGAAATATCACGCCTCCATCTCATGAGATAGTTCAGTATCACAGTCCTCGGCACTCAATTGTATCGCCTCGACTTTGCTTCTGGTTCGAGACTTGTTGGCTTCCAATTTCTCCTTGAGATCTGTTTGGTGCTTTGGTGGTTGCTTCTCAAGATAGTGTGGGTCCACAGACGTTCCCAAAATTTCAGGTACCATGTATGGCTTCAGCCAGCCAACTAAAGGAGAGACGCCCTCAAAGTAATGTCCTTTCTTGTGGTAGAACAACAACCCATCCATCTGTTGAGGAAAAAAAATTTGTGTCAGTGCTGCCTTCAAATACAAAGGTACCATTTATTGCCATAGCCACTGAAAAGGTGTGCCCTTTTTAGATGTTAATGGCAAAAAACTTTTTCAAAGAATGCTAAATCAGCTTCTACTGACATTTTCTTTTTAGAAATTGGTTTTCTTAATCTAAGGTTTATAAGAAACTAGAACAAAAAATGAAGCTTGATAATACATACAATAAGAATACCTGGCTATAACCATTGACAGTACATTAGCGGGGCCTCACAAACATTTTGTGAAATGCTGAACTTACTATATTTTAAGAAATATTACTGAACCAGAATGACAGAAGATATAAAAAAAAGAGTATACCTTGAAGTTTCAAATTTAGAATCAAATTCATGTAAGTAAATTATCCTGAACACACTAACATGCACACATGAATGCATGACCATTAGGGATAGTTGGTGTGGGAAACATAAAGCTGCAATCAGTACTAATCTCTTGTTTTTAGTTTCTTTTCTACCTCACAAAGCATCATTTCATGGCAAACCTTTCTGGTAATGCAAAAGACCAGTTTAATAATACAGCTTGAATTATTCTTGAATGCCCACGTGGAACAACCAGCACAGTACCTCAGATGGAGGAGCAGTCTCTAAACAGACGCGTTACTGTTCTGATGCCCGGGCGAGCAGCTGTCTTTTTTCTTCCTGCAACACCCCGTGTGTACTCAGGGTGCCCAATACACCGTTGATGAGGATTTCGAAGTGGGCAGCCATGCAAACCTGGCTGATATAAATTTCGGCCTGATAAGATTTTGTAAGATGCTTAGGCTGAATTTCGTTCTGTCCAACCGGCCAAAATTTGGATAACCAGAACACTTTTTCACATCATGACAGGTAATACGAACTTGGGCACTGAAACTGTCGAGCAACGGGCAACAGAAGCTTGCTTAGAAAAACAGACTGTTGGGCAAGTCGGTAATCCATGAAGAGGGAGACTGCAAAAAATGAAGTTTCCTCTGGAAGCTTCAGAAATATGCATGCAGCCAGCATACACACTGTAAGAAGTGCAGTTATCCTTCACCACAACCACTGTGGATGAAGTCTCGGTCGTTATCGACATGATCATGTAAGGCAACGACGAAACTCAGGAAGTACACACACATCCAATGCTTGCCATGTCAGAGCCATGCTACTTAACGCAACTGTTGAGAACAAAACTGCAGCAGAAGCAATCATAGATAGAAACGACAAAATTTTGAAGGTGCGTGCATGGCCAGTCCATGTGAATTGTAAACAAAACGTCGGTTGCTGGAACCCCTGCACACGAAAGCAGGGTTGCTATCAGCACGATCATTGATGGCTAGGCTTGTGCGAGTAATCCAATGCTTTGAATACTCGAACAAATATCAAAGTATTCAAAGTCATTTCCATTTGAATTTAAATGACTGAAAATTTCAAGCTATTCGAAATGATTGAATAGATGTATATTAGTCCACGTGTAACCACCGTAAAGGTGGTTTCACTGCTGTAAAGGGCTGTGCCGTGAAAGCATTTATTCAAATGTATATCTATTCGTATGTCTCTTCTTGTAAAAGTGGTTTCACTGCAGTGAAGAAATGTTAAGCCATGAAAACATCTACTTATTAGACATCCACACTGCCGCAAAGCCCCACTTCAAGGTTAAAGGACCACTCACCAGGCCACATACCGAATTTTAGTTAGACAGTGGAAGTTGTTGGGTGTGCGATGAGGAACGTTTTGCCACAAAAATTTTTCGAATCGGTTCATTACGAGCGGAGAAAACAGGTTTTTTGAAGCGGCGTGAAACGAGGGTAGGAGGAGGCGAGCTTGAAACCCTTGCCGCTCCTCCGCGTAGCCTTCGCAAGCCAAATCTCGATTGATTGATTGATATGTGGGGTTTAACGTCCCAAAACCACCATTTGATTGAGAGACGCCGTAGTGGAGGGCTCCGGAAATTTTGAACACCTGGGGTTCTTTAACGTGCACCCAAATCTGAGTACACGGGCCTACAACATTTCCGCCTCCATCGGAAATGCAGCCGCCACAGCCGGTATTCGAACCCGCGACCTGCGGGTCGGCAGCCGATTACCTTAGCCACTAGACCACCGTGGCGGGGCTCGCAAGCCAAATCTCTTCCCCACCCTCTCCAGCATCCGACCATAAGGTGACGTGCGCTTGTTGACCAGCATTATTTTGTGGTCTTCTGCCTGTTTCTGCGGGATGGTTTAGAAACGCTGCCTTAGACGCGGTGGAGTAGATGAGCGCAATGAGTGCGCGAACGCGTAGAGCGATCCACGGCGGTCGTCTGCTCAATGCGCTGACCGCGTAGACATGAACGCATGTGAAACGCTGGCACATTAGACCCGCATCTCGTAGCATTTCACAATAAAAATATGAAAGAAAAACGCGCACATTTTTTATTGCATCTCATTATTTATTTCTAGTTTTATTAATCTCTTAAAGCAATGAATACATAATCTACGCATGTTGTGTTAAATAATTTTTGCCATGTCACGTGGTATACTGTTGACAACGTCAGAGCAGACTTGTCTACGTAGAGGACCAACGTCACTGCATTGCCGTGTACGTAGGGCCATTCTTACGCCTACGTCATGCCCTCATTCTCTACACATGCGGCGGCAGAGGGAAGGGAGAGCAGCTTTCATCTTGAAATTTGACCCATTTCCGCGGCGCGTAGCGTTGCAAAGTTTGGCAGACGTGATCATGAACGCCTCGTCTACGCATTGCGAGTGTCGGCTCCAAATTGTCAAACCTGGTGAGTGTCCCTTTTAATAAACATATTACCCTCGCATCAATTGTTTTTTTTTTAGCTTAAAAGCTCGTTATATCAACTTATATGCTCTAAGTATAGGAAATATTAAAACCTAACACAGTTTACAGGTTATCACTTGCATTCTTCCAAAATTCAAATCCCTAGTGCTATTCAAAATCGTATCCACTTCCTTAAAACAAAACAAAAAAAAGACATTTACTTAGGCCTCTTTTCAATAAAAAAATATATATATTGTTCAAGTTAGCGAGGTCATGACGAATATGCCTATATTTTTAATAACATGTGATATATACTACGTGAAGTTGATTCAAACTTATTTGACCAAAATGACCATTCACTTCGAACCTAAAATTCACTATTGGCACAAGCCTACTGATAGCAACAACATAGTTCCAAAGGAACACTGCTAATGCAGCAGTAAGTTAAAGCCATTAAAGTTACAAAGAAGCACAAAGTGCTTTTGTGTTGCTGTCATTCGCTTATGACTACAATTGAGCTGACTTGGTACTTTGTTTCAGTTGGCCTCAAGCGAAGCTTTGATGCATATATTTGTGGCAGACAGCTGTGCCTTCCCTGATGAATCCTTTTGTAAGTGTCCAAGTAAGACATAGGTGAGTTTTTTTTTATGGCAATAACTGTTTCTTTGTATATGGTGGTTTGAAACAAATTTTCCTAGTTTATTGAAGATATGGAATTTCAGGTGATAAGTATATTTTCGCTCGCCTGTGAAATTCGTATCATTGAGATCCTACTGTAGCTGCTGAGAATTCATATATTTTTCTGTTACAGGCAACAGCTGTAACAGGGTTGCTGCTGGTGGAAAGAATCATCACCAAAAATGGCTATTTAACTGAGCTCATGCCAGCGTACATTATAACAGTACTAAAAAGCCTAGTGCACCAATCTACTGAAGAAATAGGCCCAAGGTTCTGCACAGAAAAATTTTGGCCAGATAACTTTCAATGAAAAGCACAGAAATCTTATTCATACATTCCTGTTGGTTGGTTTTTCCAGCTCTTAAGCCATGAAACTTGAACACCATTAACTTTGCAGGGGAGCCACATTCCTTAGCTGCTCTTTATTACATTTCATGTCCCGTGTATTATGTCATGGAGATGTGATGGCACTTCGTTTGACTAGTATGGGTTGCTGCCAAAAATGGTAACGAAATGTTGTGCACAAGAGACAGCATAATTGCGTACAGTGCTTTATCAGTGCTTGGCTAGATGACCAATAGTCAGTGTGACCCTACAGAACACGTATGTATAGGCCTCCTAATGGGCACACACATGTTTTTCTGGCTGTGCCACACCTCAACTTTGCAATGTCCCCATATTTTATTTTCTCTCATATAACTAGCACGGATTATACAGAAAGTACAAAGCTAAAGTCGGCGTGCATTTTATACACGAAGTGTGGGACACAAGTTGGTATAATGGCACTGCCTCACAGTAAGAAAAGAAAGGCAGCTTATCTGCAATATTTAACAATTTGAAAAAAATTATATTTTTCTGTGGTTTATAGTTGAGGGTGTGGGCTATATGCTGGGGCAAGTTATATGCGAGAAATTATGATAATTCGTACCAGATTACCATTACTTTGAATTACTGCTACTGTTTACTTCATCGTAAAACCTTGTTTTCATTGTTTTGGGCACTGAAACGAATTTACCAATCCCAAGAAGTTTTCCTGGATGTTAACGATTTTTTGGGTCATCTGATCTTTTTCATTGGTCCTATACTAAATATAATAACAGGTTTTACTGAAATAATAGTTTCTGAAAAATTCAGAGTTCAGCCATACCTCATCCTCAAAAGGGAGTGGCGTGTTCATTAGAGCAGAAATGGCTTCCTTGGTGCAAGGATACCGTGGCAACGTGACAAACCGGCAGCCCCTGCTGCCATCACTGGTCTCCTTGATCTGAGGAATCTCATTTAATTTCTCGTCAAGCCAGTAGAACCGAAATTCTGCCTACAATTTCAAAAAAGAAAGGCATTCAAATTGTTAACAATGTACAGTAGCAAAACTGCATTTAGCTCCACAAAATTTTAAAAGAGGTGGATTGGAAAAGGTGGCAAGTCACACAAGACCTTTCACTAAGGTAAGGACTACAGGCCCAGTGACAGACAAAAACAAGCTCTGACTTCAAATGAGTTTATTAAGCCAGAGCACTAAAATAAGTGAGGAACGGAAAGCAGGAGCATTTGAATAACAAAAAAAAATTATGCTAGAAATGCAAATAATAAAGGAATTGAAAGAAATGCTGTGAGTTGGTGTACACGCCACTTTTTCTCAGAAAGCTTATCTTCTTATCTAGTGGGGACATATTAGATGGCATGGTGACACATAAGCTATGCTCACGTGCCATTTGCACAGCTCCAATGATAACTCAGGTGTGGTCACTCTGTGTTCATACAATTTTTTGTGATGTTGAAAAGAGTAGTACACCAACATGTGCTGTATTGCTGTGCAAAGAACCTTCTTATATCATTCCAGAAGCTACTGGTGTGTTTCCTCCAGTAGTCATTATGACCCATGCAACTTGCACCACCTGCTTTGATTACTTGTAGCAAGCAGCAGTGGTTTTTTCAAAGTACATTGCTCTTTCTCCTTTGCTCCTACAGCCGTTAAACCTGTCGCGGACTAACTCCAAGACATGGTGTATTAATGCCATTTCCCCTTCTGTCCACTGGCCTCTCATTCCAACACAGAATGTCACCACCCCCCCCTGTAACTGTGCATATGATAACACAGCGCACGTCTTCATAATTTTTCCAGGCTCACCTAAGCACCCACCCACACCGGCTCACAGGGAATGATAGGATCTTTCACGTGGAACACAGGTGAATGATGAAGGTGCAGTCCAATTTTGCTCAGAAGAGTGGAAGGGAGATGGAAAAGGGGCATGCTTGGTTAGAAAAGTCTTCCGGCACACATGCAAGGGTGAGACGGCTGAGGCTGAATTGGGAGCATTTACTAGAGCAGCAAAATTTCAATTTTGGAGCACATGAAACTTGCTTTGGAGCAGTTAGCGGTACTTGATATGTTGTCCTAGGAGCTTCAAAAACAAATTTTTAGCAACGTGAGGGCACACGTTCATATTTTAATTGGCTTATGATACACATAACATTCAAACAGACTATAAAGAAAGCTTTTGAACAGATTATCGCCAGGTATAAACTGCACTACCTTTTTACACACCACATGATCTATCTAGCCTTTGTAACAACATCTGAAATAATAAGTATTAAAAAAAGAAATTGAAAACTAGGTTCTGAAGAAACATTTGAAGAAGGAAAATGCATCACACTTGAAAAGAATCACAAAAATTATGATTGCTCAAAAATCGTGGTTACATGATACTGGCTCTTCGCTTAAGAATGGTGACATGATTTAGCATTACTGCTTTGACTTTTTGTATGTCTGCTTCTCTATCTGCTCAAATGTGCAGTTGCCATATGTCAGCTGAACTGCAAGCTTTTAACAGACAACAAAAGCGTGCTGCATCACCGTGCACGGCTACCTCACGCAGGACCCTTTTCAAGAGTACGGTGCGGGAGCCAAGAAACCTCGCTGTACCGACTAGCTCATAGAGTGCATGCGTATGACACTAAGCGATGAGTGAATGGTGAAAGCTGATCACGCCGCATGATGCAGGCAACCACACGTTATTATTACTGCCTATGTTGGCTTGTTATATTTTTTTAAATACCAAATGCCATTGCACGCGCCGCTCCGCCACTCCTGTAAAATGCTTGCATCATGCAGTGCATGTAAGCGTGTCTAGGCAAACGAACTGTAGAACATACAGATGCGGGATTTCTGAAAAAAAAGAAAAAGAAAAAAAAAAGATATGGACCCTCTCCCTGGAAAGAACTCTGATGGGATGCAAAGCAGCAGCGGTGTGCGCTCGGCGCTGACCCGGTTGCAACAGGCATCGACGCGGGTGCTGGAAGAACGGTTTGACGCGAAACTCGGTGTAGCGTTTACTGAAGTGAACGTTTGTTTGAAACGCAAAGACATGGGAGGCCGGTTGGGTTTGGTGTTTCGTCGCAGATAAACGAGCCAAAAGAATGTTTTTACTCAACGTGCGCTTGAGCGTTGTGGGCGGTGGAGAGGGTAAAGTGAGAAAGAAGTGTGTTGCAAGCAGGCTGAGAAGCTCGCAGCTGCGGCGAACGTGCGGCGGGTGAGAGTGACTTAACGCGCATATGCGAGAGAAGCGTGTGAGGGGGGCGTGACCCCAACGCGCAGCTGCGACTTGACCTACTTGGCACCGCTCCAACAATTGCAGTGAGGCGAACGCATTGCGGCGCATTCGTGCGGACGTGTGTAGGGTGTTACACACGTGAGTCAAAAATATGCTTCGCATCGAAAACAAGGAGGTATGCCAGTCAGACTGCGGAACGGCCGCCGACCGAAACAGTGGTTGAACGAAAGTTTTTGACTCACGTTACACACGTGAGTCAAAAAGATGCTTCGCATCTAAAACAAGGAGGTATGCCAGTCACACTGCGGAACGGCCGCCGACCGAAACAGTGGTTGAACGAAAGCTAAGCTTAAAAGCTTGTATAAAGCAGTCATGCAGTGTAAAATGCTCATCGCAAGTTTTGATTACAAAACGGAGCAGCGGCAAATCACCGTTCATGAAAACTGTGCCATGTGATTGCAGACACATCTTGAGTCACGATTAGGCGCCGAGGTTTCCATTATTATCAATTAAACGGTTTGAACGCGCATTCTATCACCACACATTCGCAAATTGTGCAAGTTTCATCTTTCGTGGGTCTTTCGCTACTGGCAGACACTGATGTTCGGATATGATGTGCAATAGCTTTTTTAAATGCTAAATACAATGAGAACTCGCTTGTATAAATAAATTAATAGCTAATTTGGGTAAACCAGGAGTGGGTCGCATGCGATCTGTCGCTCATGGAATCAAGTTTGAGAGCCCATGCACCAGAGCATCTAGGAGACACTTCGCATCCAAGGGGATTACTCCATGTTTACGCCACAACGTACTCACTCACGACAAACTGTCACGTGTAAGTGACTGCACACAGCAGTGTCGACATGAAAATCGCAGTGACCGGAAGAACGCACAATGCACAACAAAGAACCTGAGTCAAACCTGCTATGCATGCCACTCGGTTAGGGTGGCCAACTTGATGGTTTTCATTAAGCACCAGAATACACAGCCTAGCTCCTGGAAGCAGCACGCTCGACGCCCAGTAGCACAGTTTTACGGGGTCACGCATATTTACAACAGTCTAGAAGAGAATATGACGGCACAATGGTAGCGATCATCACCAGAAAGGTGCAAAGTAAGAAAATATGCCTGGGCACGTCTTATTTTCTTAGTATTTCTGACGCTACTCGAAAAATCATGTACTCAACTCAGCCTTTTTCCCCCCATTGAAATTTAGCTTGACATCAAAATTCTTGCTTTAGAGGCTGTTTCAGAGCACATCGACGCAAGCTTCGCGATTTTTATGCTTTTGAAGCAGTTTGGAACAAGAAAACAGAAATGTATCAAAAATGTCTAATACCTGCAGCTGTCTTAGCCCTGCACATGGTACTTAGAGAAGTGCGGCTATAGTTTTTTTGATAAACTTTCTAACGTATTTCTTTTCTGGCATTTAGGGGCATTTCCGATGGAGGCGGAAATGTTGTAGGCCCGTGTGCTCAGATTTGGGTGCACGTTAAAGAACCCCAGGTGGTCTAAATTTCCGGAGCCCTCCACTACGGCGTCTCTCATAATCATATAGTGATTTTGGGACGTTAAACCCCACATATCAATCAAATCAAATCATGGCATTTAAGGTTCTTTGATTTCCTTTCTGTGGAAACATCTGGGATTCAGTTTAGCATACTACAGTTGAAACCCTTCATAAGAGACACTGATGTAAGAGACAACTGGATAGACACCGGGGTGCCTATATTGAAATAGGTGTTGATAACAATATGCATAGTGGTACTCTGCTTATAGAAAGGCACCCCTTATAAGTGACAAGAATGGTTCCCTGTTGCATATCTTTTATAAGAGGGATCAAGTGTAGTTGTTTTAACCAATAGTGCAGCATCGCAACAGTTTAGTAGGTGGTTTATTTTACCAGAGCCCACATACAAAAGTTCGTGGCGCTCTGGCTGCTCCTTGTTACACATCATGCCTTAATAAAACTATTATTGCTATAAGAGTGTCTGACAATGTGGAGATGGTAGAAACATATAATATTAATGCTGTATGTGTAAGTAATGGCGGGTACAAGGCAAAGCCGTGTGAAGCATTTTAACGCATTAACAAATTCGTTACCTCACTGTCGCAAACAGGGTGCGACTTCCAGCACAAAAGGTCGAGAATGTAGTACGTCCGATGCAATTCTGAGAAGACACAATCCAGCAGGCAGAAATCTAAAAAAAAGTCACACCATCAGGATTGCCATATCCAGGATTCATGCTGAAAATGTAAGAACATACTATGCAGACCATGTTCAGCAATACTTGCTGGTATAAAGCTTTTACTAAAATCGCCACCAATAGTTAAATACAATATTTAGCTTAATATTTTCTGACACTGCCTATGGCAGTGTGAGAAAATAATGCTGCACTACTTTAACATCCAAGCTCAGAGCATCCAAGCTCAGTTTTCATTGCTGTGACTGCCATGCTTATTCAAAAGAATATTTAAACTACACAAAAATTTACTGCAGTGAGTCATAATTCTTTCGACTTATAATTGGAATGTGGTGACTTCAGTAATTGGAAATATCCATGTCAATGAAATGCACTGCTTTGACGTATTCTGTCAAACAGGGCAAAGAGTTTGAGAAGTGGTACATGCCATGGAGGGAAGCTGGGATGGTACAAGCATTAATGCCAAACCTATTATTTTTCAGTAAATCTACTGATCTTTTTTGGCTACCTGCTGATTGGCAGGCAAAAAAATAATATATACACTGATCTTTGTGAAGTTCCTAGACTTCTCATTTTCTTTTCAACACAGGATGCAGTAACATCTACATCCTCTCCCTAGCCCCTCTCACACGCAACTGGTTTCTGCCGAAATGTTCTTCCCAACCTAGAAGATTGACAAAGTCACACATGTTTAAGCAGGCTTGAGTACATTAGCCCCATACGTGAGTGTACAAGGTGTGAACGTAACGTGCATGTCTCCCTCATGCTCCCCTATTTATCTCCTTCAACCCCCCTTCCCCTATCGTATCAACAAACACTGTCTTTGTGTGCCCATTATTAACCAGGAGGGAAGAGGGGGGAAACGTGCGTTGTGTAACTCTGCAGTACTATGTGAATTGCAGGCTTCCTATTATCCAAAATGATATGGAGCTTTATTGAAACTTGGAGGTGTGCATTATCGGTCTCCGCCATAGTTCTCTCTGCCTAAACGTTGTATACCACCATGCTTTGATGATTACATTTATTACATGCAATGTTTTTATATGTGCTTACAAACTAAAATAAATTAATATAATTACATTAAGCATGCTAGTTCAGTTAATGAAATTTATGTCATCAAAGTGCTTTTTCATTAATATACTGACTTTTAGAGAATATCTACACAATTTTAGCTAATCGGGCTGCTGATTTTGTCTTAGGCCATATGGCAGCACGGGGTGCAGGTTTAAAAATGTGGATGGCTTGTACAGCACAAATTATACTTGCATTTATTAATACCAACTTTAATTAAGCAAGCTCCACCACAAGACAGCCACATATTGCGATGAAGTATACTAAATGGCCATCCACATGAGCGGTACAATTTGCCATACACTTCTTATGTGGCAGCTTTGCTTGTGAAATGCAAGATTTCTTTGCTGCACAGAGGATGGTTCTGAAAGCTGTTCTGGAGCTGCTGCAAGGTGACATGGACATTTAGTGACAGTGGGTTAGCCCTGGCTCCATTGGTAGTTTCACCGCTGCTGAACCTCCAATGCCGATATAGCCATTACACCTTTTTTGGTTCACTTCAAAGCTACACCTAATGGAACTTCAGAGCTATGTTCTAATGCTAAGTGTTGGCATTTTACTGTCTTCCAGCAATTATTTCACAAGACGGTGCCCTGGTAAAGCCTATCTGCCATGCATCGCTCAGTGCCATGTGTGTACATTGGTCCTTTTGATAGAGCTATTACTAATTGTTTTACAGTGGAGGTGGCTTCTCCTAACTAAAACAGCCACGAGAACTACCCGCTGTGCAATGAAAGTCGCAGTTGACTTGTGGCTGTTAAATGTTCACAGAGGACTGTCGTGCTGCTTGAAGAACCAAAATGACTCTTAGTCTGATATTTGATTGCCAGTCTTTCTGAGTAAAATTGGTCATGAAGCATCAGAATAGTACTAAATATATTTTGACACGAATGTAGTGTACAAGCTCTATTTTTCTAAATAGTGATGTTATAATCTTTTTGATATTTGAGCGATTCTTGGAGAACATGTCTCGTTGGGTTGGTTCCACTGCCATTCCGCAACAAGGTATGTTGCCCAATCATAACAGAACAAAATACTGTATTTACTCACACAATGAACACACTTTTTTCCTAGAAAAATCAGAGCAAAGGTGGAGGTGCATCTACTATGCAGGGCAAATTTTACGAACAATTTTCGGGATGAGCGAGAAATCCCATAATGCAAAAAAAAAAGTTAGGTCGCTTAGCCTTTCGCTTCTTTGTTCGTCGTTGAATGCGCTATCTTCTGCAAGCTGTCCCTACACCCCTCGCGCACTCCATAAAAGTGTTTCTCTTCTTTCTTTTCTTGCAATCGTTTAACCTCAAAAGTGGTATCTGCTGTAATCTCAAGGGGCGCCCAAAGCATGCGCTACGATGCACTTTGCCAACTTCAAAGCAACATCACACGACGACTGCACCGGCGCCATTGACATTGCATGAAGCTACCACTGAAGCATCCAAAACAAAACGCCATATCAATATTAATGAAAAAATACAGCTGCCGTCTCGCTATTCACATGCTGAAGTCACTGTAGAAAAGGTAGCCAATATCTTCCATTCTTTGAAGTACGTGTGGATAACAAACATGAAGAGCAAATTGCAACCTGAAGCGAGAATCTGGGGTGCTACCATGTTGCGAAATCGACACGATATTTTCTGGGTGACAAGCAATTTTTTCCGGTTTTCCCGAAACCTGCGACACGTTGGTGACGAATGGCCCTTCGCAACAGTCCATGGCGACAGCAAACCCTGTCCTCAGTCGCTCTTAATATCACGGGCGTGTGGGTGGGCCTTAAAGTTTTCTATTTGCAGGAGTGACCATCGGTTGGCGTGGGCAGTTTCGTGACCTTCACTCGCTGTGTGCCTATCAGTTGCAAAGCCTCTGCACTCACACCATTCGTGAACCCCGCTGTGGCAAACGAATAATAAAAATAGACAGGGGATGTGCTGCGCGCAGAAGAAAAGAAGAACAATACGATGTGCGGCAGTGGGCAAGGGGGGGGGGGGGGAGAGGTGCCAGTCGAGGTGACCAAAGGGAGTCGGCATAATAATAAACGAAAGAGAAACAACGAGCAAGGAGGTGCCAGGTGTCAGTTAGTGGGACTGCAGTGGATGAATGTAGAAGGTGTGTTTATTACGTGGGAGAAAAAGAAAATCCAGATTTTGACGACAGAAGTTGGGGGTGCATGTGTTACGCGAGTGCCATACTTACTCGCATAATAGGCGCACTTTTTTTTTCAGAAAATCCGGCTCGAAGTTAGGTGTGGGCCAATTACGCGGGGTAAAATTTTCGAAAATTTTTTCAACTCGTTTCTCGCGCTTTAAATCTGCACACTTGTCAAGTAAAAGGCGACTTTATCGTTTACCAATTAATTCAGCATAAAACAAACATACCTACGTACCTTTTAATGAACAAGCGAGAGCCGTCAACTGCACACACACACGTAAAATTTATTTACACAAAAGTCGTAGCTGTTCCTCCTTTTCCCTATTCGTAGTCCGAGTCGGAGATCACACATTCATCCTCGCCGAGCGGGGATTCGTTTTCGGTGTCCGGATCATCCGCACCCCACAACATGTCATCCTCACTCGCATCCAGTGCGTTCGAGATACCCGTCTTCTTGAAGCTTTTCCTGACGACTTCGTCGGAGATCGCCTGCCACGCTTCCACGATCCAAGCGCACAGCATTTCCACAGGCGGCCTCTTAATCTTACCACCTGTAGTCAGCTGATGTTGTCCTCCAGCCATCCAGGTGGTGTACAGCCTTCGAACATTGTCCTTGAAAAGTTTATTCAAGGACACGTCCAAAGGCTGCAGTATCGATGTGAGGCCGCCCGGAATCACTGCCAGATCTGTGCGCAGCTCCTTTAGCTCATCTCGTACGCGGTCTACTAGGTGCCCACGAAAACTGTCCAGAGCAAGCATGGACGGCAACAACAGACCACCCGGCCGCCGACCCCAGACTGTTTTCACCCAATCCACCATGAGTTCCGCGCTCATCCAGCCTTTTTCCTGGACTCTGACGTAGATGCCTTGAGGTAATTTTGCCTTTGGGAGCGTCTTACGTTTAAAAATAACGTAAGGCGGTAGCTTACGCCCATCTGCTGTCACCGCCAGCATTACGGTGCATCGTTGTTTATCAGCGCCAGACGTTCTGACGATGACGCTCCCTGCACCTTTCTCCTCCACTGTCGTGTTCCACGGCATATCAAAGCACAGGGGGTTCTGATCAGCGTTGCCGATCTGGGACAAAATGAAGTCTTTCTGCTGTCGGAGCTTTATAACAAAACTGTGGAAGTCCACCACTTTGTCCTCATATGCTGCGGGCGAGCGCTGGCACAAGGTGGTCCGCCTTCGCAGTGCGAGGCCATGGCGCCGCATGAAACGAGTTGTCCATCCGGAGCTGGCTTTGAACTCTTTTGCTTCGATGCCCTGCGCTCGGGCTATTCTGCGCGCCTCAGTCTGCACAATATCCAACGACACAGCACAGCCGTCTTGTCGTAGCTCCCGTATATGCCGGACCAGTTGCTCTTCGACGTTCGGATACCTGCCGGTCTTGGCACCGCGGAAAGCCCGTCGTGTCTTCTTCGTCGCCTTAAGTTTTTCTTCTTGGTCCCTCCAGTACCGAATACTGGTTTCTCCAACGCCGAAATGCCTGCTTGCAGCCCGGTTGCCGTGCTCCAGCGCGTACTGCACTGCCTTCAGTTTAAACCCAGCCGTGTAGCTCGCGTACTTCCCCATGGTGGAACCAAAGTTCAATACACGACCACAACATACGCACACCGCTTGCAAAATGACGTTTCTTTCTTTTTCTCTGATGGTGGTGATGGCGATCGAGCCTCCGGCGTTGTACACGTGACCTCCAAAAAGCGCGGCGATTTGGGGGGTATCAGTAATTGATGGAACAGCCTTTTTTTTTTCTCGCTCATGGACGATTTTTTTTTTCAAGTTTTATTTTGACAAACACGTTGGTTAGGTCGTTGCACTCGAATTTTTTTATTGCTCGTCGATTTGCCTTCGTTTTTTCTTCAGGGTACGGGACCGCGTTCCAACTGTACCGCTGGGGAGTAGAATCGTTTCTGATCGACGGCCAAGTTCGGGGTGCCTATTATGCGCAGAATTAAAAAAAATCAAATTTTCCGCGACCAAACTAGGGGTGCGCCTATTATGCGAGTGCGCCGATTATGCGAGTAAATACGGTACTCAGCAGTGAGAAAAACAAGACAAGTAAACAAACAAAATATGAATAAATGAAAAATAAAATAGAAACAATAGATAAAAATAAATCGATGCATTGGTAGGTGGTTCCCCGTAACATACCCAATCATGCAACAAAGTTTTCATTAAATGTTGACCTTATAACTGAGCTGTCAGCGAGTGTTTCATGTCTGAAAGCCACACTGGGTATGCATAAACAGGTGCAGCATGAAAGACTTGCATTGCCTGATGTGATATCTCTGCCATGCAGGGAAGTTTCAAACAGGACCCTTTTCACAATCTGGTACAGTTTATTCAGTTCAGTTTATTCATTCATTCAAAATACAAAATTCGTAGAATGTAGTATGCAGACGAGGGTCCCAAAGTCAAGCGACTGCAGTGGGACCCTCAAAGTGCCGTAACAGTATCAAGTGCAACCATTCAGCCAGAGCATTAACAGGGATTCAACTCCCAGCCATCTAACTTCATAATAACCCAGTCACTGTTACGGCACTGCATAGCCTCACCAACATAACATGTGCTGAAGGGTACTAACATCATGCAGTGGTAACAGGTTTCCTGAACTGTAAAATCGTTGTAATGTAGTGAAAAAAAAGTATCTAGTTGATCCCTTGCTGTTTTGGCACACATTTTCTAAACAAATCTGGTTCACAAAGATTTTGTTACTTGTTCATTGAGCAAAAGTGCACATAAAGCAGATAGGGTGCAGTGTGCTAACCTGAGTGTTTTCCATCCGAGGATTTGCTTCCGCCTGGAAGTAGTGATGAAAACATGGCAATACGGTAACCGTTCCTCGCATAAGATTTTGTTGAGCCCTGAAAGAATAAAGAGAATGAGAAAGAACATGAATGAAAATATGTGAAAGCTGCAACATTTATTATGAGCACATACTGAAGAATGAAGGTTCCTAATTAATTCCAATACACCAAGATCATAACTATCCTTAACCTTCGCAAGTCGATTTTCATCGCCAAGTGTGACCTACCAGGATAAGTTTCTTTTATTGCTCATTTCAATTTTTCAGGTGAATCTGATAACGAAAAAGGTCGTAATTTTTTAAGGGCGACCATAAAGTGATGAAAATGTTGTTTATGTGGGGACATCCACATGGTTTCTTTTCATATGTAACATCAAGATAAATTCTATAAAAAAACCCTATACGACAGTAAAAAATTATGCATTTCAATAAACATCTATGTAGTTCACAGACGCACGAAAATAAATGCACGAAGCGACGTGAAAGGGAAACGTGGGGGGGAGAAAAGCCACATTCAATCCACTCAGCGTCATCTCGCCATGCGTGCTTTTGACATGTCGCTCACTTATTAACATCAGAGTCTTAACTTGCAACTCCTCGTGTAACAGGCTGACCATTACTGAACCAGATTCTGAGGAGCCATTCTCAAAACTTGCAAGACAATCACAGCGGCATCGTATATGTCATTGGGCATCAGCACAGCCGAGGGACGAAACCGAAACCTGCTGAGGCATTGCAGCAGTAAAGCTATAAAAAAGAGAGAGAGAGATCAGCGCAAAAAACATTCATATTTCCACAGTGTGTCAGCACGTGCCAAGCATTAAAACTGATTGCAAAAAAAATCACTGCATTTCAAGCTGCTTGAAGATAATTATGGGGCGAAGCTTTCAGAGGTGATTATTGTGATTAAAGTTGAAATAGTACTGAGACTGATAGTGGTTGTGATATTTATATATTTTTTATTCAAAGAGATAGTGCTGAGACCGATTGTGATATAGCAGTGATCCTTCTTTATAGCTGATATAAGGTTCCGAGTTCCGGGTTACGTTTGACTTCATAATCACAGCTTCATTAGCTATCGTCTCTGGTGTAGAATTTTCTTGTCAGTATTGCCGCCTTGCATTCGCTTCAAGTTGTCTCAACTGCGCGTCAGCTTGGTGTTTTTCCCACTTAGCCTTTGCTTCCATAGCCCTAGTCTGTGGTGTAGAACTTTTTTGTCGCCGTCGCCGCTTTGCATCCGCTTCCTTCTCTTTTGTCTCCGCGGTAGCTTCCCGTCGACGGCGACGCTGATACTCAGCACGTCGCGCTTTCCTGCGTTCGTCTTCGTCCATATGAGAGAAGAGAATGTGTGGTATAAAACGTGGTTATATATATATAGTGTTGACAGCAGTGCCATCACATCTACAATTAACCACAGCACTCTCTGTTGCTTATAAGTTGAAGGTTACATGCAAAACGGTTACCCCCAACGCCCTGTGTTGCTTATAAGTTGAAGGTTACATGAAAAATGGTTCAGAAATGTCAGACAGATGAAGACGTGTTACGGAGAAACGGGAGACGGCGGATATTCTGAGGTCTTAAGGAGCTTCGCCCCTAAAAGGTGTGCGTTTTCAACATACAGGCAATGACGTACAGGTATGTCTTTGACCGTCTAGTGGCTATGGGCGGTTGACGTCTTTGACCCCTAAAGGGTGAATTTATATATAATTGTGTCTTCTTTTCAACTAAAAATATATACAGTGATCAAGGGTCAGTTAGTAAAATGGGAAGTTACCCTACACACCAGCTTTCATGATGACAATTAAATAGACATTTTTCAAGTCAATAAACTTGTCCCTAATGAGCCCTATATTTGAAAGTACTGAACTTCAAAGCATTTTTCAAAGCTAAACAATGGTTTGTTAAAATTATAGCCAGCCTGAAAGCATACAGGATACAGATGAAAATATATTAATGTATATTTCACATTCCTCACAGTCACAGTCCTCGTGACTTTTTGTTGTGCCAGCTTATCGAAAAACCGACACGTTGCTCGACCACATGCGCAAACATTCTTGATTTACTCTTAACTTCTCATTCCGATCTTTTCACTGATATAGGCCATCTTGATGGTCTTTCTGATCATGACATAATCACGGGAAACTTAATATGTTCACTCAACGAAAGGAGAGTTACCAACAAGCATATAAGGTGTTACAACCGTGCCAACTTTGATGAAATTAGTGCCAAATTGTCCAGTTTCACTGGAGAGTTTTTAGATAACCATTTGTCGCGTTCAATGGAAGATAACTGGAACCTTTTTAAAAATGCTCTTTCAAACTTAATTGATCAATATATACCAGTCATTACCATAAAAACAAGCAACGTCGCTCCGTGGTTCAATAATCAACTGCGTCGACTTAATAATAAAAAAAAAGCGACTGTTCAGAGTAGCGGACAAAAACAGATTATCAGATTCATGGTGTCGTTATAAAACATGTGACAAGTTATACCAACGCCTTTTAAAAACTACTCGTCGTCGTTTCTTCAGCCATGATTTGTCATCAATGCTAAAAAATAACCCTAGGCGCTCTTGGCGCACGATAAATCCTAGTAACCAACCTGATGTAAATCTCGTTAATACTGATGGAAGCCCTGTTCCGGAATCCGAATGCGCTCAGTTATTAAATGATACATTCTTATCAGTCTTTACTCTTGAGGATACTACTTCATGCCCTAACATAGATGTAGTTGCCGTTATTAATATGTCTGAAATAATAATTGACGAAGCTGGTATCATATCTTTACTCGAAAAGTTGAAAACTTCGTCTGCATCCGATCATAATGGCTTCAATAACAAAATACTGAAAAATATTTCCTCAGGTATCTATCGCTTTTTGGCAGCAATCTTTTCTCTATCGTTATCATCAGGCACCATTCCTCACGACTGGCGAATAGCAAAAGTAGTGCCGCTATTTAAATCTGGTGATCGCTCATCCCCGCTTAATTACAGACCCATATCTTTAACTAGTACCATATGTAAACTTTTGGAACACATTATACACTCCCAGGTAATCTCCTATTTAGAGGAACACAATATTATCTTTAAATACCAGCATGGTTTTCGCAAGGGCTATTCATGCGAAACTCAACTCGCGGGATTTACCCATGACTTGCACTCATCATTGGACGCCGGCATTCAAACTGACGCTATATTCCTTGATTTTTCAAAAGCATTTGATCGTGTCCCTCATCATCGGCTCTTACTAAAACTTAGGCAGCTTAATATTCACCCACTTGTTCTCGCCTGGCTACAAGCCTTTCTTTCCAGTAGAAAACAATTCACGTCTGTCAATAACTTTAACTCTCCTTTTGTTGAAGTCTCATCTGGAGTTCCCCAAGGAAGTGTGATTGGTCCCTTGCTTTTCCTTATTTATATTAACGACTTACCCTCCTCAGTCATTTCTAAAGTTAGGCTTTTCGCTGACAATTGCGTCATTTACCGTGCCATTTCATCTGAAACTGATCGACAATCTCTACAATCTGATCTTGTCTCTTTAACTTCGTGGTGCACAGCATGGCAAATGACACTAAATCCTTCAAAGACTAAGCTAATGTGTTTTACTAAAAAAGCGTCCCGTATTCCAACGTCTTACTTACTAAATAATACTTCAGTGGAGCTTACGACTTCTTATAAATACCTTGGGGTTAACATTCAGTCTGACCTGTCATGGCATCACCACATTAACGTCACCCTTGCTTCAGCAAATCGCTCACTCGGGTTCCTTAAACGTAATTTGAAACACACTTCCTCACACTTGCGTAAACTGGCTTATATCACCCTAATCCGTCCTAAAATAGAATATGCCTCAGCCATTTGGGATCCCGATCAAGACTACATTATTGAAAACATCGAAGCCCTGCAGAACCGTGCTGTACGTTTTATTTTTTCTGATTATTCACATCACACCAGCGTCACTTTATTGAAACTTCGTGCTGAACTGGAACTCTTATCACGTCGCCGTAAAATTGCTCGCTTATCACTACTTCATAAGCTCTACCATCACACATCACTTCACGAGGACTTCTTTAGGCCACCCCCTGGCATCTTTCCGCGCCGCGATCATCCCTTTAAAATCGAATGCTTCCCTTGTCGCACTTTTCATTATGCTAGATCCTTCATACCGCGCACAATAACCGAGTGGAATGACTTACCTTCAAACATTGCAACCGTCACCAATATCACTGAATTTCAGAACCTACTAAACATGAGTGCAAGCGTGTGAACCTTTTGCGGTATTCCCCCCTCTTTTTCTTTCTTCTGCAAACCGTGTTTTTTGTAGAAACTGCGTATGTTCATGGTTCGTGTTATTTATTGCTGCGTTTGCCTAATTCAGTTTTCACACGTGTTTTTGGTGATGTTGCCATTCCTTTATGCTTAATGGCACGTGTGTTTGTAGTAAGCTAGATTGCATTTTATTGTACTCTTGTGACTCTATTTCCTTCTTTGTGTAGTTCAATTTTAAAATATTTTTTTTTAGTTTTATTATTGTTTGACTCATATTATTTCTTCTGATTATTTAAGATTATGTGGTAAGAATATTGACCTTATATTTATTCTAATGTATTTAGTAGCTGTATGGTGTTTAGTTTGCGTGTTTTCTGGTTCTATTAATCATTTCATGTACCTGTATGTGTTATAGCCCCCCCCTATGTAATACCCTCCTGTGAGAGGGCCCTTAGGGGTATTCTGAATAAATAAATAAATAAATATACAACCTAGCAATCACATTCGGCACCTCAGTAAACACAACTTAACGTTGCATGGAAGCTTAAAATCACATTTATTTCTGTATTCTTCATCTGACACTGCAGTATAAACCAGAATCAATAAATTGAGTTATGCTTAGAAAAATTGTGAAAATTGATCAAATTTACATAGTAGGTAAACAATCGGCACTTTATCTAATCATGCTGCTGCACTAGCATGTGAAGCCAACCTACCAAATCGTTCCTGCACTTTGCTAACTATATACAATCATGCATTTTTCATTAGTTGCAAGGGCCCCGAAGACTTCACAGAAAAATTACAAGAAGTGTGCAGTAAGAGACCAGATAGAGACAGAAGGAACAAAAAGTTGAAGGCACCCCTGATACCGAAATTGCAAACTCGAGATGTTTCTGTTGTTCGCGTGTCCTGCATACGTGGACACTTCTGAGAGATTATTAGTGGCAAACATTGCCTTTAAAGGGGCCCTGCAACACTTTTTGGGCATGCTCAGAAAACGCTGCCGATCGGTAGTAGAGACTCCCGACATACGCGAGCCAAATATTATAGCGCAGCACACGGCCTAGAATTCGCAACAAATGATCAAAGTCAGCTAAAAATAGCTTTCTCTTCTCTGGACAAATTACAGAATAAGCCCAAAAATCACTCGTAGTAAGCCCATCTATCAGCCATTGGCTGATTTGAACATGGCACGCTCGGTTGTTACAGAGGTCGCCGCGAAAGGCCGTCACTTGTCCAGGCATGCGCGCATGATCGCACTGAAAAAGCCGTGTATTCAAAGAAAAAAAAAGAAAGAAAAAGTGCTCAAGGTCACGAGACGCGAGTGACGGTTTTTGTTTGCCCCTCCCATGCCTTTCTGCTTAGCTTCCAGTGCTTTTGTCAGGATGAGAGAAGAGAGAATGCGATTTCAGCCTGTGACAAATCTTTGTCACTTTGTTTGTACTGGACGGATTCTTAAAATTTTTGCGGTGTTGAATTTGTGAGATAATGTGATTATCCTGTGAATTAATTCCATGGTTACTCAAAAAAGTGTTTCAGGGACCCTTTAAAGGACCTCTGACAACGAAAGTTTTGTTTGAGAGTTTTTTACAGTAATTTGTAGCTTTGCGTCTGGTTATGCAGAAATAATAATATGGCATGTTCTAATGCATCGTATATAAATGCTAGCGGCATTATTTCAAAATTATTTTGCATCAGTTCGAAACGTCCACCTAAATATCATAAAAAAACCAGCGCCCCACGACTGAGAAGTGACTGAGACTACGTGTGCTCAAGCTTTGGTGACACTGAAACACGCTGTTTCCAAGTAGGGGGACCTGCGAGCGGTGAAGAATGAACCGATGTGAGTGCCTTGAGCGTGTCCCCCTCAGAAAAAAGAAAATCATCTCTGGCCTAACTAAGGAGCCTAAACCACCTCGGGAGCAGCCCAACAACAGAGCGAGAGCGGTGATAAACAAGAGTCCTCGTCGGGTGCCAGTCGAGGTATTGTGCACGCCCCACAAATGTTCTGAAACTCTGTAACGTCACAAGGGGATCTACGTGAAACCAGAGAGAATGTCGATTATACCTGAATATTTGGAAGAGCCCGCACCCTTACTTCAAAACCAAATTAGATATTTTCTAGGCAACCCTCGCTACTAATAACCGGTCAATGGTGGCCCTGCATGCAATAAAGTGAAACAATACAAGCATCTTGAGTTTCCAAATTTGGGGTCAGGGGTCCTTTAGGATATTTATTTCGGTGTTGAAGTAAGAATGACTGCTCATCTGAGTTGCAGCGCCTCCTGACATTGCCACTAGCATGACGTAGCTCAGGGACCATGTGTGACATTCCATGAGTAAAGAGAGTAGTGTCGATGTCGCGGAGAAGTTTATGGGGCACGCACAATATCACGACTAGCACTCGACAAGAGCCATTGCCCCTCTCGCTTTATTGTCGATCTGTTCTCAAAGCAGTACTGGATGCTTACACCAGGAATGCTTTTATTTTTTTCTCCCCATGAAGACACGCTCTCGACAGTCTATTGAATGCATAACCGACGGAACTTATATGGAAGCACTTCCATGATTTCATTTTTTACCGCAAGCGAGGCTCTGATTTGGAAAACTGTGCTTTCATCATCCCCAAAGCTTGTGTGTATTTTATCTCAGATGCTAACCTGTAGTGGGATACTAGTTTCTTATGATCTTAGGTGCCTGTTTGGAAGTCACTCTAAAACTGACCATAATTAAGGAGGCTAACATTAATTATATGTGTTAGAGCATTTAAAATTATATTTCTGGATTATCAAGCACAAAGCTACAAATTACAGTAAAAAGTCACATTCACAAATTTCACTGTCGGGGGTCCGTTAAAGGGGCCCTGCAACACTTATTGAGCATGGTCAGAAAACGCCGAGATCGGTAGTAGAGGCTCCCGAGAACACGCAAGCCGAATGTTATAGTGCAGTACGCCGCTTCGAATTCACAAGAAATGATCAAAGTCAGCTGAAAATTGCTTCCTCTTCCCTCAACGAATGATGGAAGGCGCTCAAAAATCACTCATAGAAGGCCATCTATCAGCCACTGGTTGATTTGAGCATGGCACGCTCGGTCATTACAGAGATCACCGTGGAAGATTGTGACTTGACCACATGTGCTCGTGCGATTGCACTGAGAAAGCCGTGTATTCGAAAAAAAAAAAAAGTGCTAGAGGTCTTGAGGCACACGCGACGTATTTTGTTTGTTCCTGCCATCCCTGCCTGCTTAGCTTTCAGCAGGACTAAAGAAGAGAGAATGTTATTGCAGTGTGCGACAAATTTTTGTAACTCCTCTCGTACTGGATAAATTTTTAGAACTTTTGCGGCGTTGAATTTGTGAGGCAATAAGCTTTTTCTGTGAATTCTTTCTATGGATACTTAAAAATGTGTTTTAGCGCCCCTTTAAAGTAAATGTTTTTATTGATTGTACTTATCCTATACCTACATATCTTAGATATAAGAGTGATTTTTGTGGTATTGTATCATGTGAATGTGTGAAGCTTGTGCCACTTTGCTGTGTTTGTATGAATAATTTTTAAGTTCACAAAAGCTCGTGTTAGTGATATGAATAGCTTGGCCATTTGATTATTGGACACTTCACCATGTTTCAAGTCCTTGATTTTGGTAGAAATCAATTAAATGTAGCTGCTGAGCGAGAAAACCACAAATATTGGTTGCACTTTTTCATTTACGCCCGATCATCATTGAGTAGCAAAATGGAGGAGACTGTACCTTCGACGAAACGACAAGACAACGTTTGGCAACTGGGCAAGGAACCATGAGCCAGTTTTCAACAAAGTCTTCTGGTACCTCCACAAGCCATTCTGACAGCATCAGCTGTAACAAAAAAAATACAATATTTTTTCTTACATAATCAAACAAGATATTGGCATTTGTGCAGGTAACATCTGTTCTGGACATTTGCAATCAGTCATAAATCTTGGCAATGGAATCATATGGTGCATCATGTGCATACTTTCAAAAAGACAGCTAACCAGCTTAGTTTGCTTTGTACCTAATTGTTTTTCAAGTAGGCTGGAAGACATTGTAGCTTCTGTGATACTTCTGAGCACTTACCGCATGGTCTGCCTGCATGAGTTTGGTGCTGATTTGTAAAATCATATACTGCAAGGAGCTGCTAAAAAACTGAGCACACATGACAGACGGTTAGCTTTGCTGCAAGCTTATTTCTAAGTGGCATTTTAATGGTGCGACAGCACGCAAGACGTGTTTAAAAGGAAACAAAACGAGTTGAATTCGCAAACCCTGCCTCTTCGATTGCGAGTGATTTTGTACTTGCCTCCGAAAACAATGGTGAGTTGATCTCCGTGCAGTGAAGCTCACCCTTACTACAGTGTGATAATACAGTGTGAATTGTTGAATACCAAGCACCAACTAGCCCGAAAATCCACCCTTTCGAGTGTAAAAAGCAAAAAAGAAATAATAAAGAAAGCTCTTTTGGAAGGGATTGAGGCAAAGTTTTGGTGATTTTGTCTAAATGCACTGGGCTGGTAAAACAAGTCCTAAGAATCATTTGCTGACATATTTAAGCATTTGCCTCAACTGTGCAGTTTATTACCACAATTCATTGTTATCAGAGTACAGATCGCAGCGGCTCAACTGAACAAGCTTTAAACTTTCCTCATCCATTCCATGTAGCATTATTCCATGATATGCCGCACCGGCGACGGAACTAATTGGATATGTCCAATGCATGTCACTACCCTAATTGGTCAGCAAGCTTCATCTACCTGCGTTACAACGCGCTCCATGTTGATATAAGCTGTGCAACAGTGTTTACCTGAGGTTTCTCAGACCATTGCCCTAGCTTTGATGTGTGCTGCGAATCTAGTAATGTAAGGCTACAACATCGAGTAAGACAAACAGTGAGCAAAGTTGCTTCAGCTTGTCGGTGCCGTGAGTGTCTGACTCTATCAGATCAATGCGAAGATTCACGTGTCTGCACTGTAGCTTCATCCCCGAAGGCACAACCACATTGCCTGAGTTTGTGCCTATCGGTGACCATTTTTAAATACTATGTGTGCGTACTTCACGGCCTTTGCAGATAGTCGATGCACAGGAGAGTAAAATAAGAACAGCTGGTTGTGTGGCGCTAACTGGCTGAGGTGATCTCGACCACTTGGCAGGCGTCATCTCTGTTCCTTGACAGGGGACCACTGCCGTAGCTAATCGCATAGGCCACACCACAGAGAGGCTAGCACAGCCATGTGTGCTTTTGTCGCTAGCCATGAATGGGTGTTTTGGGGAGATGAGTAGGGGAGGCAGTGGTGAGCAGAAAGATAACTGTAGAATTGCTCATAGCTGCCTTGATACACGGTGCAGAGCTTAATTTATGGCACGGATCATTTGATGACAATGTAGCCTAAACACTTACAAAATTTCAAAAACCATTTCACGGTCCCCTTTATAATAAACTTCGCCTTTTAAACAAAATGCTCCTTGCTGAAAAATAAAAGAATGTTCATCATTTAGCAGCATTGCGTGAAATTCTTTAAATGGCATTGAAAGAAAGTGGCGCGCAGTAAAGACCCTCTTTATTTCAAAGTGCATATTTTTGTTTTCGCGCAAACTTCACCTTTTTGACAAAAATACTCGGCCCGTTTCTGCTTTGCATGGTGGCAACATATCAGGATAAGTTAATTTTTTTTCTATGCAGTCCTTAAAAGAGTTCGTACTACAACTTTGAATTTGCGGTATTTTCATCAGGGTATTTCTTGAAGGCACAACACATGAGAGCACTTGGCTGCACCGAAGGATTGGACAGACCGCGCAGTAAAAGGTTGGCACGGATGACATCCTTATATGACACTATATCTTCGGTGAAAGCACCTCTTTCGAGGAAAGTAGAAAACACATGTACCCTGTTTCTGTATAGCCTTGGTGCGTTGCTCCGAGTCCGGGATACCGTGCAATCCATTTTCTCCTCATTGTCTCCCGAGGCCCCCCGATCGTCCGAACCAAGAGCAAGGCGGCGTGCATGCTCGAACAGGTCGGACCGTTTCCTGTTGCAACAAAAGATCTAACTCAGATGGCGTGCCACATCGAGCGGGCCATCACGTCAAGCTCACTTTTTCTGCTCCTCGAAAAACTTCTGCCTCCGCGCTTCTTGCGATGATGCGCTGTGCTTTAACTTGTACAACGCAAATCTTGGATGAGGGGTGGCGGTGCTGTTTTCATCGAGGGAGACTCTTAAGCCTGTCGAAAGGCTGTCTAAAAGCCCATCCATCGTGTAAGATCAATGAATATAAACGTTGTTGGTGTTTACAGATGACATATACAAATCACAAGAGCGTGCACACAGAACCAACGAAACAGACGACTGCTGGACGCTCTAGACCACCCTCTAGACAAATGAAAACAAAACTTGAGTCAAGTGACTTAGGTAAACAATCTTTGAATAGGAAGGTAACAAGCATGGAGTAAGTTGTTGATGTTGATAAACATAAATTGTTAAAAACTGCCAATAAACAAAAAGATGAACAAAGGTTTTTTTGATTGGTTAAATTATATGACAATCAATTCGGTGAGAGTCTTCGGGATTACTGCTGCTACTGTAAACTATGCTGCCAAAACTATTAATCTAAAAAATATAATTTTTATGGTAAGTGATACAGTAGCAATATTGAGAATACAAACATTTTAAATGTTGTCTTGTTTTTTTATTGATGATGATCACAAGCATAGAGTAATTCTATATAATACCTTCCACGTACAGTTCCTCAACACAAGCAAAGTTGTTTGCGCCATCTAGGTAAGCTTGCACAAACTAAACATCACCACTCTCGCATCTCTGGCGGCCAAAACAAGAACCAACGGGACCGTGCCTGTTTCTGTCCGTACGCGAACCAACCCGTGCGTGCGTGTGCTCGGGCTGTCAAGTGCATCGGCGTCGAGTTTTTTTTAATTGGGAACAGTACGCGCCGGCGCTAGGAACGGTGCTTCTCACGGATGGTGTGACCGATGGCCGTGCACGCATTGTGAATCCCCGGTGGCTCGCGGACCTATCGAAGCCGGCCTGGCCTCCCTTGTGGGCTTTCTTTTTTTTGACAACGGGCGATGGCCAAGATCCTCAAGCATCTCGGCTTCGGCAAAAAGCCGCCGATGCCTCCGCGGGTGGATTACAATATGCGGTCGTACCTTGGATTAGGTGAGTGCCCGTGGCTACTACTTGTACTTAACGCTAGCGCAGAGGAGCGTACACTGCTTTCTGCTTCTTTTCGCTGAATGGAGCCGATGGAGCTGCGCTTGCTGTTTCCGCGCATGCGGTGTTGGAGTCGAGCGCGTCCGTATCTTCGATTTTGTCGGGCGGGGTGAGTGACTTCCGAGCAAGGCACGATTATCCGTCATCTTCCGCACCGGACCGCATCATTTGATGCTCGTCGGGCAAAGCGTGCCAAATTTTCCTCGATCGTGGCGCAAATGCATGCGTTAACGCGACCTCGATCTGTATTTTTTCGCGATGCACCATCGGTAAACAGCGGCTCCGGTTGCGTGCGCGCGGAGTTCCATATCGCGATTTCGTCCGCTTTTTCCGCGCGATCGTGTTCTCCTTTGACAGCGCCTGGTCTATTTTGCCTTCCGTGCACGTCAGAGCCAGCGTTCATTAACGTTGGTTAACTGTTAGCCACTATAAGCACGTTAATTTAGTAAGGAATATGCAATATAATAAGGGGGAACGAGATTGGCGAAGGAACTGAACCAACATGCAGAGTATTCATTCGTACAAGAACATGAGTGCTTTGTGCCCGTTGGTCAAGGGAAATAATTGCGTTGCATGATGCAAAATCGTCTATCTGATACACGTGAGTGTTGAACTTGTTTGTGAAGTAAGTGCTACATGTGCATTTCTGTAGTTGCTCCCCAGCTTAAAGTGGATCAGGTATTGTGATGTTGTTATGCATGGCCGGTTACCGAAGGTTTGGCACGAGAAGAGGATAGAAATGAAAATTGAAGTAAAAAAAAGTAAGTGCAGCATCTGTACTACCGTTGTCCTATTTTTTTCTTTATTATATATTTTTCTGCCTTTCCCCATGTCTTGTTTTTTCGCGCCCCTTATTTTTAAATTAAACTCGTTATTTTTGACAGTGCTTTAGTAGTATCAAACCTAAATATACCGGTCTCAATAAATTAGATAGATATGTGGGGTTGAACGGCTAAAAGCCACCATATGATTATGGTGGTCTTGGGAATAAATTAGACAAGTTGGAATGATCTAGAGCGAATCACTGAGTACCCGCGAAAGGCGTGGCTTGCATAGGGCAACACAAATGGGGTTACGAAATGAATGAAATTTACATCCTATTCGGTCACTGTGGTCTGGGGAAAAAAAGAATCGTAACTTTCGTAGAAATTTGATTCGCTCATTTTTTTTCCTTGACTATGAAAGAAAAAAAAGCATACGTGAAAGAAAAGCTATGAAGGATACCATGGTGGGATTCGATATAAATCTCGTGATAAGACAGCCGTCGACTTAATATTTATGCATAATTGGAGTTCTGTGCAATAACTTAAAAACTCGTTCCACCAAGCAGGTAAAGTACAACACCCATCGCATATGTTGCATTGTCAGATACGTCAACTATCAGATCATTCGTGAATATCTAACAACAGTAACTTTAAGTAAAACGCTGATGGCGTATCAACTCTAGATCCTTGTAAACGTTTGGCATCGGAAGTCGGGTGAACAACCTGCCTTGACCCTACTTGAAAGTTTGAACTGGGCCGCAGTAAATCACCACTCGTTCATTCAACTGAACGCAGCTGTTTACTTTACCGACGCCAGTTAGAGAAGTCGTAATGCATTTTGACGTACATATTTTGCGGTGCTGTCCTGACGAACACGAATACAATGCGCATTGCATAAATTTCCGCACTTCGTTTCCTTGCGTTACGGCGCGGAGCTTTGCTCCGTGCTTCATTATGGTACACACCGCGCCGGCATGAAAATTGGGTCGCAGTTCAAAAAAAAAAAAAAAAGGGGGGGGGGGGTTGTTTTCTGCTAACTGACGAAATAGAGCGTATGACAGATATAAATGCATGTAGGTCGACTGTCGATGGACCTAATTGCATGCGCGTTACAAAAATTTTCAGTCTTATTCTTTCGATGAATAAGTTTGAGGTCTTTGTTTTTGTTGATTGTTCATTCCTATTTGCGCCTTCGCTGCTGTGGTTTACCGATGGCGTTTCTTCCGCACAGCTTGACTAGAAGGGTCTCTGAATTTTGAAAATGCTCTTTCTGAAAGGTAACGGCCGCTGAAATCGAGCCTCGCGTGCAGCCCAATATTCAAGGCCATGCGCAAGCTTCTCGATTCTTACGACTTGACAGCAGAATTCGATGACATTTCTGTGATATCCGCAGTAGTACGCGAGGGCTAATATCAAGTTTCTCGAGCCCTGCTGTGTCGCCGTGCAACTGCTGCTTTCAGCAAGATGCGGGAGTGAAGTAGCAGCATGACTCAAACTCCCGTCGTGGTAGTACATTGAGGTTTATTTCTTTTTCTGTACATAGGAAATACCGAAGCGAAAGCAAAAGGCTATAAAAGCCTGACGGACGCTCTTGGTCCGAAATACAGTCTGGTACACAACTTAGACGCAGATAAAAAACAACTTTTTACACAAAGACAATCAATCAGGAAAATATAATCAGACAAATAAATGCCACAACTTATAAGAAAAAGAACAGAACAATGCGCATAACAAAAGACAAAATACCATTAAAGAAAAACATCATTATCGCAATATGTAAAATAGATGAGATCAAAAACACATTTGCAGACATATACATTTCAAAAGCAAACAAGAGCATTGAAACTATACAGTTAACAATTAGTGCACACAAAGTAATAACTAATCGAAATATTAAATTAAACATATTCAAATCAGTTATGAAGGAAAATTTCCTTGAATGTATTTTTGGATTTTTTTTATTTAGGTCAACAACATTTTGAAGTTTGTTGAGAAGACTGGGTATTTGATAGTTAGTATGGTTACGGTACTCGACTGCTGGCTGAACCAAAACTAGTAGATTATATATATCCCGGTAGCGGCTTTGCTATTTCGGTGGAGGCTCGTGTTATTGGATTTGAGAAAGGTGATTCGAAATTGCCGGAGCGCTCGGCGTAACACTGGTGCGCTACGGCGTAACACTGGTGCACTACGGAGTAATTTAGTGCACTGTGGTGTAACACTGTTGCACTACGGCGTAACACAGGTGCACTACCGCGTAACTCTGGTGCATAAGCAGCGGGCGACTCCCAATTTCTCATTCCTTCCCTGAAGATCAGGAGAGCAGCTTTGTCACGGTAGAACTCTGAAAAGAAGGGGAAAAAAAACTGAAAGATGGACGCAGCGTCATAAAACCAGACAATTGCGCATAATAATAATCGTTAATAAATGTTACAACTTCTTTGAAATCTATTCGATTTGAACTCTCCTCTTCACATTCTCCGGGCCACCTTTTGCTACATCTTCACTGCTATCACATATATTTCGTGTTATTCTTTTAGATAACGCTGACGCCCAGTATGTGTAATGACCGGGTCTGGCCCACTCGATAGTCTAAAGAAACTGACGAGCAAAAAAAATAATAGTGCTAAGAAGGTGGTTTTCGTAAAAGAGTTATGAATTTGTAAGGGCATGTTTCTTGCTGTGCAGATATTAAGGAATTATTTTGCTGTTTCATTAGAAGAAAACCTGAAACGGTCCCAGTAGCACATCTTCACAAGTACCATTTTTAATTACACGCACTTTGCTCATATGCACCAACTTCAGTGCACTTTTTATCGAGCCATTTCAGACCTATACAGTCCAATAAGTGGCAGATTTAGTTAACGCAAGCTCATCATCATGACACGGTAGGTTTCAGCGTCTTGCGTCGCTGCGATCTGCATGCGCATGCTGTTTTGAGGGGGCGCGACATTTAAAGTGAATTCTCGGGTTTTCCGATGATCTACTCCAAATCAAACTCGGCGCAAAAAAAACAAAAAAACAAAAGGACTGGTACAACTTGGAAAGAAACGGACGCAACAGGTGCGTGCAGTGCATCTCCCCTATATCGCGCGTGGCAGCCAAAACAAACAACCGAGGTTGCAGAAGTATATCGGGAGAAAATGCGTACAGAGCGGCGGGAAAAACCCGAAACAAGTATATAGGGCGCATCGATCAACACCTAACGGGAACCACGCACACTGGTCCGCCTCATATGGAGCTAGAAAACAATAAAATAAAATAAAAGGTAAGGCTGGTCCGCCGAACGCATGCACGCAGGGCCACGTGTCGCGGGCAAACTTCTGAAGTCATGGAAGAGAGACAGAAGCGATATGGTGCGGGTTTTACGGAGAACAAGCTAAGCGAATGCTGGCTG